TAATTCGGTTATGTTAAGAAATAAAATCGACTTTGAAATTAAATAACTGATATTTTAAAAATAAATACCAGATAACTGAACTAAAATATAAAATTCGAAACAAAAATTTTAGTTTGTATCTATTGGTCGATATGGTGCAATATGGTAGTATTTAATGTGCAATATGTCTAACACTATTGTGCGCTCGAAATAGATAAAAATATCTAAAAAAATATTATTTTCTTATAATTCTGTTAGTTTGCTCATTCCGATTATTAAATAATAAAACCAACATTGAACTTAAATAACTGATATTCTAAATCTAAGAATTATCGAATCGAAGGTAAAAGTTTGAATTAAAATTTTAGATCGGTCGGTCTCTGTCCATATTGTGCAATGTGATAGTCATTAATGTGCAATCCGCATAACAATATTGTGCACTTACAACACAAACATCTTGAATGATATGTCACAAACCAAACTAACATCGAACTGAAATGATCCTTTTTTCATATTTATGTTGACAAAAAGATGTTTACATGAGTAGTGGAATAGTGAACCGAATATTGTGCCAATTTTAAAAACATTTACAATATTTTTTAATGTTATTTAAGTTGTATATATTGAATAACTATATGTGAAAAAAATAAAAAAAATTGAAATTAAAATACGCAATTTATTTATATTTATATGAAAAAGTATGCAGTCCAAATAATTAAATTTTGTTTAGCATTTATATTATTAATATTGATACCATGATTATTGTAAAATCATACTCTCATTTTTATGGAAAATATATATTATATTAAAAAGAACTGATAAGTTTAAAAAAGAGATAAAGATTAATTAAAAAGATTGAATCATGGTTAAATTATTCGATTCCATAATTATACTTCTTTTAAAAAAAATACTCCATAATTTGATTCCATAATAATACGGTTGTTAATCAAATAGAATTGATTCCAAACAACGAATTTAGTGTTTAATCAAATATTATGGAGCTTCTTTTTAAAACAATAAATCCGGTTGTTCGGGGAAATTA